AATATGACAATAAAGATGAGGACAACAGTCCGGACAATGTAAATAATTACAATACCTCATCTCAGAAATATAGACAAATATTGAAGTTGTAGCAATAGGCAAAATTTATTCTGTATCTGGTTATATTTCTGAGATGTACATTATTTACATTATTCGGACTATTGTCCTCATCTTTGTCGCCATAATTATTGCAACGTTTGCTGTTATCAATACATGTTTTTACCAGAGCTCACATTGCAACTTTTCTAAGGTGTGCCAGAGAAAAGCGATAATAACAACAAAAATTGCAATATGAGTACTGGTAAAGATGGTTGCCGAAGACATTAGGTTTATAATACCCAGAAATTCATACACAGATGTCCTCAAGGACACATGGCACAGTGGATAAAGGCTTTGATTAGTTCCAGTGACAGGACACAAAGAGTTAAGGCAGTGGAGAACTTGGAAAGGTGAATTAACAGAAGAACTGACAAACAGTCTACCCCAGTGAGCGAAATAAAGGGTTCAGTTCGACATTCCAACCACCTGAAAAGGCCGGGGCGTACAACGGCCGAAACGTTGTAATAAATATGGCGACAACGATGAGGATATGTCCGAATAATTTAAATAGTGTAGTGGTCACTTGTCGAATAAATCGACTTATACTTTACTGAAAAGTTTTGTTATGTGAAGATACCATATAAGTTTGCAAAGAGAATTGAAAAATAGAAAGCCAAGATCATTCTGATGTGGCGAGTGGGTAGTGAATGTTTTCTGTTCGTTTAACTATTACCCACCACTATTGATTGGTGAGCACGTCGTGTGCGTGTTCTTTGTTCTTAAGAAATGGCGTCACTTGGCAGAATTGAGAAGTTTGACGTAGAAAATGGCAGCTGGACAGACTACCAGGAATAATGAATGTAATATTTCCAGTTTCACATTTTGAGCCGCTATCCATTACACCACCCACGCGTCCACACCTGTGGTGGAGATAAAATCGATCCAGACCGTGTTCAATACTGGTACTGCTGTTTTGATTGTGCCAGAAAATCCCCCCCAAAACTTTTTGCTTCATATGAAGCTCGATTTGGGTACTTCGACGTAGTGTAATTGTTAGCAAGCTTGTCTTAAGACTAAATAGGTGCCCCATTCTTTCGGCCTTGCGCCACATCTAAGCTTAGCTTAGAAAATCACCAAAAATAGCGGCACTTCGACGTGGAGCAATGGTTAGCAAGCTTGTCTCGCTAGATCAATCACTACTGGATAGTGAATTCGATCCTCACTCAGAGCCCCATAATTTTGGCCTTGTGTCACATCTAAGCTACGCTTAGAAAATCACCATATGAAGCTCGATTAAAATATCATACAAGGGACAAATGGTGTCCCTGGTTGGAGAAATCATGGTGCAAGTACTTTTAAAGGAGGCTTCAGCAGAATTGACACTTACCATTGTTCATTTTGTGATGTCAACGAACACTCGTTGTCACTTTCGTAAATGCTCGTTGTAGTAGAGACTTTGTAATCGCAGATACAACTATAGTAACGCCGTTGAACAATACTGGTGTCAGACGGCTTCGAATAGCACACGCACCAATAGTACTTGCTCGATAACACTCGCTCGAATAGTAATCTGTACAGTGAAATAGTATAGAGAAACAGTATAGTGAATAGAGTAGAGAATAGCGGTCCTTATAATAATAGAGGATAGAGTAGAAATACAGATCATTTAGACGTCATGCGACTTTCTATATATGCGTTTTCTCTATGGTCACGTGGCCTAATTAATTCAATAATGGGATCGCCTGTGTTTTCTCACTGGCGATCTGTGTTCAAACTCAAGCGTCGGCAGTGACACTTTATTCCTATATAAGAGTTCAGGACATTGATTCAGATGTCAATTCACAAGTGCATCATGTTGCGGAAGCACTGTAGACAAAGAATTACGAAACTGGAAACCGAAGCGATTACAGATACAACAAAAGCCTTACACTACGATCAACACCCATCGTGAAATGTTTCTCTATAATTGATGAGCATTTGAGATTTCAAGTGCGCCAGCGATATTCCAATAAATAATGGAAATATTTTACAAGGCATCTCACATGTAGCTGCGAGGACATACTTTTGACCGGTTGGAATAACCGAAAACAAAAAGCGGGATTATAGCTGAAAATGGTATAAATTTATGCAGTCGGAGATTACATTTTAACATCGAGTATCTGCAAAAGGATTTAGACACAAGCTCCAGTTCCAATAAATGTTACGGAATATAAAGCATTTCTAGGCGTAATAAATTCTTATGGTAGATTCGTACCAAATCTGGCGCATGTTTTGGAACCATTAAGTACGCAAAGACACTCTTCAGGAACGGGCTATCTTTCAAGAGAATGATTTCCTAAAAATCAAAAAAAAGTCGCCAGTGCGAGGGCACTACGACCTTTCTTGCCTGCTAAGTTTTGCCTTAGGAGATGTGTTCATACGGCTTGGGAGATGTCATTTCCCAAGTGGTGGATAGACAAAAACAAAAGAAATAGATTTCGTGCCTGACAGTAACAGAATGAAATTATCCCAAATTGAGAAGGAGACTTTGGCAATTGTGTTTGCGGTGACAAAATTCACTTGTCATTTTACACAGACCCCGATCTCTTGTGGTTATTTCAAAACAAGAAATCCGCCAGAAACGATATTTGCATAATTATGTTTATGTTGTAACAGGATGGTTTTTGGTATTTATTTAACGGAAACTTTGGAATAAACGAACTGGGTATAAAATAAATAATATATTTTTCTTTATTTGTGTTAGAGTGAGTCATTTGGTATTTGATGTAGCAAAATGTTCATTTATAAGGCGGATATTGGTGGCAGTCTGGAGAAATGATCGTTCCGGCTCAGAAGTAGTAGTTTTTAATTCAAACCGTGCTAGTGGTAGTAATCTTAGAAATAGGTCAGTGTCAATCTACTGTGTTTTTATCGACCCTAAGCAGGGCAGAAATATGATTAGCAGATGACCTCTTAATTATTTCTTCACGCGTCACGCATGGCTGGTTTCTTCGGCGGTCGCGTTCTATTGTTACATGGTTTCTCTTGCCCTCTGTTCACTTTGTCTCGGTCAGGGGTGTGAGCTTATATCCTTTTGACCAGGGTCCGAGACTCTGGCGCTGTAGTCGTAAAGAAAAGAAAAAGAAAAAAAATCTATCAACTTATAGTAGCAACAAATGTCTGCAATAGATTTCTTCTGTCTCTCGGCCGCAACACTTGTAGTCAAATCACAGTTCAAACGATAGTCCGTCGTAACAGTCCAACAGGCAACGTAGAAACGACAGAATGGGGTCACACATCCGACCTTCACTTCTCACCAGCAAAAAACGCGTGTTCATCCACAAAGCTCAGAAAATCCAATCTGCTCACATAAGCGAAAAACAACGGCTTTTGTTCACCGAGTGATCTTTCTAATTCGTCACGCCATTCAGGGGAGGGAAGAACATTAGCATAGATTCTGGTCCTTAAAGTAGATTTTTGTTAACTACTTTTTGGTAATTTTTCTTTGGCAGATCGCACACAAAACACGAACTCTTTTTCGAGGTAGCTGATTATCTCTTTCACTATAGGCGCGAAACTTGGTTTCGGCTAACATCAAGTCTCGTTGTGTTAATTTTTTGATTGGCCAAAATTATTTTATTTTTCGGCGTCCTCTCCGATTTTGATGGTTTTTAGCCACAAATTAGTACGCTCTGGTCTCGCTAAATTCAGGCGCTTTTCGGCCAGGTTCAGTCTTTTCTTCCTTTTTGTTTTTTAGGGTTGCCTTCTCGTTAGTTTAGAAAGAAGTAGAGAAACAGAGAGAAAACGAGAGAGACAAGAGTTTTAAAGCAAAGCACAAATGCTTTATCTTAATTTGAATTCTTTTTAATTTTGCTTATATCTTTTAGTTTTATATTTTATATTTATCGGGATTCACGACAATTACAATGGCGATCTTTAGCAGTCTGCATATGAGTATGCATGAAGTAGAAATCGGATAGTGATAAAACTAATATCAATGCCTTAGTTGTCTACCCTGATTTGAGATTGCAAAAAAAAGAGGTGTTTCAGTTAGTGCATTTCTTGGACGAATTCCTGCCATCTCAAGATATTAAAAACAGACATTCTCTCATGAATTAAAATATTTGTCCAAGTCAATCGGTCTTGATGATGAACTTACCCTCAAACAACATAGGCACCATAAACCATCTTCTTGTGGACGTTAGACAATGAAACTGAAAGACATGCTATGAACGAGGGCCACGTGAAAGCACGTGAACGGGAAATCGGGGTCTGAATTTTTTGGTGTCTCTGCTAAACGGGAACCCAGCCTTAACCCGTTGAGCTCTGCGTTCCTGAAAATTTTTAACACTTTTGCCTCAGCTCCTGAGTCAAAATTCGCAAATAATTGGTATGCAATGTTTCACGGTAGATATAAACATAGCTACAAGTGTTTACCCACAGTTCAACCGGTGACTGAGCAATAAGTCTATTTTCTCTACCACTGTTCAACCGGTGGCTGGGCATTACGTCATTTTTCTCTACCACCGGTAAAGCGATGGTTACGGCTGAAAAGTGTAATATAGGCACCGAGTCCATAGACATGGTGATTTCCACTGTCATTTTTTTTTTTTACAATTAGAGATGAAGAGCCTGGGATTGTGAAAACCTGTACCGGGATAGATAGGCTAAGACTACTTTCTTTCTTCTCTTCCTTTTTTTTTTTATTGATTGATTCGTTATCTACGGCTTATCAACCCTTTGCAGGTTATTTAAAGCCAGACAATATTTTTAGATTGCAAGAATTATTTTAGTGATACAAATTTTACAAATAAACTCATACGAAAATTAGCTCATGGGGGGAGGGGAGAAGAGGTGGATTCATGCCTTTCACAAGGGTATTTGCACGTGTAGTGAATATAACGAATCCGAATGGAATTTGAACTCTGTTCTCCACTTAACAATTCCAAGTCATTATTCATTACACCACCCGCACATCCAAGCTTACAGCAGCTGGTATTCTCAAGCGGGAACCCATCTAGGTACTAACCAAGCTCGACGTTGCTTAACTTTTGTGATCGTACGAGAATCAGTGTTTCAACGTGATATGACCGTATACTCCTCACACTGGTGTAGAAACCGACTCTCTTTGTGGAATTGGGTTTGTTGCCAGACTCCTCAGATGTTGACTATTCCCAAGCAGAGATGATGAAGAATACATATTACAGATTTGATTGTGTCGTATCTTCCAAGATCAGGGAGTTACATCTACAATAGAAACGAGACTATGATAAACGTACTAATTAGTGAATCTTTCAATGAGAATGTGTTTTTTATATTACAAGAAAGAAATTCTAAATAGCTACCATGTGTAGTGAAAGACAAATTGGGTCTTATATCCCGTAACCTATGATGATTGGACACATAAGAGCCAGATCTGATGTTGCTACGAATGTCCCTTCGGTGAAGAGAGGTGAATATCAAACAGACCCCTCACCACTCGCCATAGATTTACTTCGGTCGGAAAAATCAGTTTGTACTTCAGCTGTGAATACAGTTTTTTTTCCGTTTCATCAAGAAGACCCCAACATTTTTGTTTATCTACATACCGGTTTCAATCAAAAAGGTTCACGCTTCCTACTCAGATGTTTTATTCTTTATTGACCAATCAACGTATAATGTACACCGTTAAAACTATAAATACAGAACTATAACTCTCAAAGGGAAATGGAGAAACAAAATACGTTTCAAAAGAAATACGCAAAGATAAAAATTTTCTCACAGAAAACAATGAAGAATTCGGAAGAGACCTAAAGAAACGATAAAGGGACGCTTCGTGTCTTCGAGAGAAATAATTTCAGACGTAGCAGAGAGAGCTGAAAAGTCTTTTGATAAACCATTTGCAGAGACATTGCTTCTTCAAGCCGATTATTACGTCATTGGCAAATCGAGACAAAGACAAATCTCTGAAATAATTTCATAGTGAAGCCAAGAAAATGAGTAAAAAATTGATTTTTGGTAAAATCTTATTTAAATTAATCTGAAATTTGATAACTGGCTTGTTGTACACTTTGAGAAACAGAGATTCAACAAATGCAAATAAACACAAAATCGATTTTGCTTGCGTTATGACAGAAAAATCTTACCTTTTTAATTCAAGAAAAAATATAAAAATCCTTTTGATACATGCCTGAACACACATACTCCTATAAAGCTGCTGGCCTTTCAAGAACGGGAAAAATATCTGTTATCCGTATAAAAGTGAATTTGCATCCATCTTGTTCTTCTTGATACAAGTCGCCTGATTCTTTTTTTTTTTACAGAATGGCCACTGAATTTGTCATTTTGTGCATAGATTTTTGACACACAGATTTCAAACGATTTTTAAAACGAGAAAAGAAAAAAAGCAATTCTGAAATATATCCTTGAAGAAAACTGAAGAATGTATTTATAATATAAAGAATAAAATATTAGTCCAAACAACTTGTGAAATAATAATGACAGCTGATAATGTCCGAATTTTGCACACTCATTTATTAATAAGTTTAGATGTCAATACACATATACACGTATTTATATTTACATACAAGGTATGTCTGGAAAGTATACACTATTTAATATTAATGAAAATAACTTATGACTTACCTAGGGCAATGGCATCTTAGTCCTTTTCAATATGTTCCTTTGAAACCTGACACACTGTGTTCATTTCATCTTTTGAAATAGTCAGCTTATTCACATTCTCCTTATTCTCGACCATCGCATTTCTACAGTTTGAAAAATGTCAGAGGTCCCACTAAGCTAAATCCTTATTATAGTAGTGAGTCAGGTATGTCATGTATAGGTGATGTGATCTTATTCTTTTATGTGCCGCGTCCCTTAAGAACGTAGGCGATCACGGCCCTCCACATCCTCCTTTTCCTTGTATCTCTTAATAATCTTTTTGTTATTTTTCCCAAATCCTGTTCTACCACCCATTTGCTCAAGCCCATCAAGTATGTTTCACGCTGCTTTCCTCTGTCCTTCTTTCCTTCAATCTGTCCTGTGAGTATCAAATTTTCCAACGCTCTTTCCTCATTACGTACACCAACTGTCTCTTCCTGATGTTAAATATAAACTTCCTTTTTGTTTCTATTCTGCCAAAAATTTCGTTGTTACTCACTTGTTCGGCGCATTCTATCCTCAGTATCCCTCTGTAGAACTACGTTCCTGTTGCTTCAACTCTTCGAGGAGACCGCCCAGCCATCACCGCCATAAAGGAGGACAGATATCACGTAACAGTCCAATACTCATTTTTTTTCCAAATTTTACTGTCTTAATACCCGGCTTAGCTTTTGGAAAGCATCTTTGGCCATCCCAATAAGTCTTCGGACCATGTTGCCAAAAACCCTGTATCGGTGTAGGATCTGTTCGCTTGATCATTGCGAATCCGACAGTGACACAGTACACAAACGTACACAATTGCATGTAACTTCTGACTGACTAACTCCAAAAGAGAGTATCTGTTCAGACATGGATAGTAAAGTCCCATTGACTTATTACCAAGTTATATCAAGTCTACATAATCAGTTCTTGAGAGGCTGAAATGGACGAGACAAATTTCCTACTTTTACAGACTGATATAAATGCTAATAAATTCGGCTTTAATGCCTGGTTAATGTAAATCATTAGTTAACTATCTTTCTGGTCATTACGAGTGAAACCATCCTTCACTCTATGCACAATTTTTATGACCTTGAACCAGATGCGAATAAGCTTACTAAGCATCTGCATATATATATACAAGGTTCAATCGATAAATCATTCATTTTGGGAATCTTTCTCGTGAACGATAATCCATTTATATACAGTCTCTTTGTATGCAATCGTTCCAACGCAAGGGTTAAGTTCAGTAATTGGACCTGTCACAGAAATATTTTGATGCTTGTTTATTTAGCGGCACACCAACTTCTCATGGGTCATTTAATGCCGAAATTTAATTTTCTTGAGAGTATTAGTAATTTCATTTGCAAAAATGTCTTGCTGGTATTTTTTTTCAAAAATGTATTGCTAGTAATATTTTTTACTATAAAAATGTATTGCCGGTATTTTTACTATAAAAAATATATTTCTGCGGTTTCAGAGTTTTGACTCCAGTTTGGGGGTTAAGCATTTGCCCGTAGCTGGGACCCTAACAGGTTCTACCACCCAGTGGACCTGGGAACAACAGCAATTAAGAGGTCGTTCCATGCTCCTCAGAACGTTCCAATCAGAGGACTTGCTGCTGGGTGTAGTTTATCGTCATACCCAGGACGGAAAAAAGTTTTGAGTTTTATAACATTTGTTATAGACAATTAGCTGAATTTTTATCTGGAATTTTAACTGTATAATGTGAAGAAAATGAGATAAAGTTGAAGATTTTATTAAAGACGCGTTTCGCCAGAGAAGGGTATGCTCTCTTTGGCTTCCTCAGTTTAAAATGAAAAAAGGACAAAACGAGGCGGGGAAAATGTCTTCAGATATTGTTTTGTCTTTGCGTTTTCCATGTCGACAGGATGTGTGTTTGTAGGATGTAATAGTGTCCGAAATATTCACTTTTGTTTTGTATACTATTATAGATCCTACAAAAACACGTACTGTATAATGTATGAACTACATGATTAATATTCACCACTTAATGAAGTGCATTGACACTGACATTAGTTTTTTTTTTTCTGCTAATATATTTTCTTCTTTGAGCCTATATTATCAATATTATTAACTGCCCTGACAAATGGACCACAATGAGATTCGAACCCGCATCTCATAACGAGAATACTAGCCACACAGCTCGGCGGCTATATTGTACGTATTTGTCGGTTAATAAACACATTATCCAACAATATTTTTTAAGCTTTTCACCCCCCCCCCCAAGCAAGGCGGGAGTGCCACTAGCACGCAAGGGGTTATAGAGAGTGGGATGAGAGTAAAGAGGCGTGAAAGAGGAAAGGATGAAGAGAAGGGCGGGGAATTAGATCAAGGTATCTGAAGATGTCGATTGACATTGCATTTGAATAGTTGCAGATTATGGCTATCAGGGAAGCAAGTAAGAGGAAGGGAGTTCCACAGACAGGAAGTGCGAGACATGAAGCTATTGGAGTAGAAGAGACGGCTATATTTAACCGTTTCGACAGTGAAAGGGTGGGACTGAGATGCCAACCTAGTAGTACATTTAAATTCTTGCATTTTATTTAGCATTCTATTCTGTAGCAGATAAATGTAGTCATTTTAAAGTAAATTATGTACATTCAAATTTAAACGTAGAAGATTTTGTTTTTATTTATTTATTAGTATTTTAAAAATCACTGCATAAAATTTGTAAATTCAACTAATGATTTATTTATGATCTTGATAGTTATAAATCCAACTTTACGCAAACTGAATTCATTTATTTCCGATAAAATTTAATCTGGCAAAAATTATAACATGCAACCCATTTTTTTTTTTCAACTAAGATGTTATATAAAGCAACGATTGGTGGGAAATCAATTATGAATTTAAATGAGTTTCTTATCTTCCTAACTCTCAGACTACACATAACACCTACACATACAAATACATACAGGCACATACATTCATGTACACACGCAACACATACTTGTATACGTATATGCCCACGCATACATACACATACAGACCAAGAAATGTCTTCACACTTTGTTAACAGAATTTATCGTTATAACTTGGAAGTTAATTAAACACTTTCCGAATAAAGAATGCCGTAAAGAAAGTAAGAAGAGCACTATCGAATGCGGAAAGACAGACGTCAACGAATTTGTCTATATATGACAAATGTTTCCTTATAAGGAAACATATGTCAATAAATGACAAATGCTTCCTTATAAGGAAACATATGTCAATAAATGACAAATGTTTCCTTATAAGGAAACATATGTCAATAAATGACAAATGTTTCCTTATAAGGAAACGGCTAATATTACCATCGTTAAATTTCGGTACTTGCTTGATTTTGACAATGTCTGATCTACGAATTGTGGATGTCAAAATCACGCAAATACCAAAATTTAACGAAGGTAATATTAGCCGTTTCCTTATAAGGAAACATTTATCATTTATCGACCGAGTAGCCAGTACTGCT